TTTATCATCTACGGGTTTATGTCGAATTAATTTTGATGGCCTGCTCCCAGTTGGCTTGTTAGCTCAATTGGTAGAGCGCTGCACTAGTATCGCAGAGGTCAGTGGTTCGAATCCCGTACAGGCCTGAATTTTTTTCAGGTCTGATTTTCACTATTGCTTAAATAGTGCTTTACCGCGAAGGATCGTGCACATAATACGATTAATATTGTATCTTGTTCTTGCTCCACCCTGGATTTAAGGTGAGTCGGTATCAAATCTAAGGTGTTGTTTATTAATTTCAAAAGTTATTGAAGTGAATAACAGTTAAACGTAATCTCTTAAACAGATAGTTTTCTCATCCTACCTTGTTGAAATGAGATAGAAATAAAGCAGTGATATAAACTCGCTCCTCATCTTGAATCGTTATGCGTGGAAGCAAAAGTTGTTAAATTGGAAGGGGACGGTTTACGCAAACAATGTAGCCGCTGGATCAATCGGTTAATTTTAGAGTCTTTTAATCCAGGTTCATCAAATAAACGGCATACAAATATGTTTCTGGAAGTAAAATTACACAATCGAAACTTGCAAACGCGAAGCAAAATAAAGCAAAATGAAAGTATACAAAGTTCAAATAAATCGAAATGTCGAACACTTACAATCAATCTGAGGGTTCCTTCTCAAAATAACTGAAAAATGTTCGTCGAAATCGATAGGATGAAAACGATTCCCATTCACAACCTTCAGAACAAAATTCATCACACACATGGCCGAAAAAGATCACTCGCTCAGCCTGGTAACAACTAAGAATTTGGTTATGTTAAAATCATGAAATGTCCATTTGGAACCAACAAACCTACGTTCTTTAGGATGAGGTTTGTCTTTTGTCGTTTTCCAATCTGTAATGAACAAGTAAAAAACAATTTTGTTAATTCCGCCCATGCCCGGTTGGCAGTTTTTGTGTGTTGTTGATCTGAAGGCTAAAAAAGCGAAACAGATTATACCTGATCGAATTTAAATCTGGCAGCAAGCAATCACGCGATGACCTCCTCTTAGCGGGTTTGTGTAAAATCGGCAAAGGAGATATTCACACGGAATCCTAATGAGCAAAAATTACTGAATACAAACAAGAAAATTACTGAATACAAACAAGAGAACAACTCATGGTCTCTTAACAAACAAAAACGTCAGGAGAAAATTGTATTTTAATACACTGAAACTTTAACAGTGTTTTAGTTTTAAGCCCAAAATACGCCCTTTAAACTGCGGTGACCACTAAGAATTTCACTTCTAACCTCCACCAGTTCTGTAGAGACGTTGAAAACTAGGGATATATTACTATGCAAAAGTAATACAAACATTAACAGGCGATTTATCGGCAATATTCGAACGATATTTTATTTGGAGCGACATATCAGCAGTCACCTCGCCACCGGTAAAACTCACCACTAGTATGTAATCAGTCTCGCCACCAAGGCGCGTTATCCAGTCACCAGGTAATAAAATAAAGTTCAACTTACTTACTTAGGTATTTCCTTTGCAAGTCCAAATATGAAAATAGAGGTGCACTAGCTTGAGTTGAGGTATTGTTTTAAGATACTGACCTAACCTCTGCTATGTTTCTTTTTCGAGAGATATAACTAAAATCTATCATCTTTAATACAAAACTTCATTTCTAATATTTCTCGACCAATTATCTTTCAAAACCCAGAAAACATTGATGCACTATTTGCACGAAAATGGAATATTAAAGCGCGATGAAAATTCGCATCAAAAATCGCTTCTGCGGTTACCATTCGTTTTCTACCCACAGTCGTGCCGGACTCATTCTATTCCTTTCCAGCGAGAACCATTCTCACCCAATGAGTTTTTTCGTACATATACCAACAAAGTATGTTTTCCATGTTAAGTATCAGTTCTTTATGCTAAATAGCAATATTACCTGTGTTAAATAAGTTTTGTTTACGTGGCGCACATTTTTCATTCGCGGATGCCCAATCAAAGGAACCGAAAATGGGAGTTATAAGGTAGACGCAGATAATTTTCCATCAGATAAGTATACATTTATTTTTTATCCTAAATTAACTCGCATTACAACCTATTTCTTGATTACCAAAGCCTCGAATTTTACGATTAACAAAACTAACGTCAAGCTTTTGCTTTTCTGTCGTAAAGAACCGAAATATACGTCCTCTTCCGTTAACAATCTCTATTTTGCGTGACGAAAAATTATCCCAATCAAACTTGGCTGGTTTCTATTTGTTAAAGTGCTTCTGCAAACAAAGTTCAAGTGTTGACCAAAAAAAGGTGATCAAAATATCTATACATCCGCAACAAGGAAAGGAGGAATAAAGATTTTAACTCAAAGTCGAAGCTAAGAAGGGCTTATTTACAATGCACATGAAAATACAATAATCCTGACGCCATTTTTAAAACTGATTACACATTTGCTTCGTCTTCCATCTCTCTGATTTCGTTAATATCAGCCGCGGCAACTTCGTTTGATGCATGACAGCAGCACAACAGTTTGCGAAATTCTTTTCGGAAGTTACAGTTTGTGAAAGCGTAAATAAAAGGATTTATTGTAGCACTCAGAAAAAGAAAAAATGATACGAGAAGTGCTACTCTTCTAGAACAGGTTTCTGGAGAGAAACGTTTCCAAAGGATGAATGCCCACATTGGTATCCAGCAAAACAGAAATCCAGCTGCCACGCACAATAGGATTCGAGTAACGTGTATCTCTTTCAAAGAACTGCTTCCTCCACAATTATCCCTGGAATGGAGTGATGCATTTGTGTTCTCTTGATGTTGATGGGTACTGGATATTACTTTGTAGTAGCTGAACATACCACTGAATAGCGGTACAATGAAAAACAATCCAAGTACAATGGAAAAATGAACGATTTGAACTCTCATATCGGCGAAACCAAGAGCACATACTTCAAAACCAGGAACGAATTCAAAACTTAGTAAATCTGTGGCTCGACCAGTCAAAATGTAAAGCACAAGAATAGTCCAAACGCAACACAGCCAAATTTTGGATCTGAGGGGTGAAAAGTATTTTTTGTAGAGGTTCGTCTTCACAATTTTTACGTAGCGATTAATCGCTGTTAAACCAAGTGTTGCAGGAGTCGCGTAGGTGGTGAACCCGTCAACGAAACCTTGAATTTGGCATAATACATCACTGAAATCCCATCTTCCAATGATCAGTGTTGTAGACGCTAAAGGCATTTCTATTGTTGCACAGAGGAGATCGCTGACTGCTAAAGCAATAATGTACAGATTTGTGGTTGATCGCAGGTTTGGGTTTCTGTATGCTGCTATACAAACCAGACTGTTTCCAATAATGCTAGTAATGTTCAGGACAACGCAAATACCTGCCTCAGTAATAACAACAGGTAGGCTTCGACTTGGTAGCTCAAAGTTTGACATCTTGTGAGAAAATAGATGATTATGTAAGGAAATAAAATGGGGTAACTGTATAAATGTGTAAATAAATTTTAAAAAATGGAATTAGACATTCCTTCCATGTTTGTGGTTTTTCCTCTTTTATTCATATATTATTTGGTTTCTCTTTATTTAGGTCATCGTTCAGTTTTGAGCTTTTATTCCAATTACGCGACTAAACGGACTAAGTTGGGAAAAGGGAGTGTTTCTAATGTTGAATCAGAATCCCAAAAGAATTTTGTCCAATAAATTTCAGCTTGGTGAAGTAAAGAAACAGAAAGATTTTACTAACGTACATGGCTGAAAGAAACGTTTCAATCACATTACCTCGAGGTGTTCGTTGATCCGAGATGTACTAGTTGTTATTGCTGTACGTCGTTAGCATTTCAGGTAGTATAGTTAAAATAACTTGAAAGTTCTTTCACTTGAATGAATATCTTTGAAATACGTAAATACCCGCACCAGCGAAACTTAACGTATTACTATTTTCATCGTGAACGAGAAAATTCAAATGTAGATTGCGGACATGGTGTGTTTCCAGATCGATCACATGAAGTCTAAATAAACCGCTATTTACAGCGGCTTAATTTGTTTTGTTTCAGTCTTCTTACGTGCACTTCTTTACTTTTGTATCATTGAATGCTTTCTTGATCCCATACCGATGTAAGCAATCCACGCAGGCTCTTCTTCGGATGAAACTCTATTGATGCTTGGCGTTTGAAATAAAACTGTAAACTTAAAATTGTTTCACCCTCTCTGTACTGCTTCTGTTTTGTTTTTTCTTGTTTTAATATTACAATCATTATGGTTATCATGATCATAAATTTTCACTATCATTACCATAATCATTAATCTTGTAATCCGCCTTACTATCATATCATAGTTCAGAATAGTTACGAAGAACATTTGTAATTCATTTTCCTACGTTACCTAGTTCGAGAAAACACTTGTCGGCGTCAATTCGCTTGGCTTCTTTTTTACACACTATTTACCTTGTTGCCCGCCAAGGAAGACGCCGATTTGCATATGTCTTACCTCTTAAGCTGTCAATGGACTATTGGGCTTCCATCAACCCCGTGTCACCGGCCTAAGAAAGTTATTTGAATTATTTTTATATTTGTACGTTTTCGGTACTTGTGTGTTTCATTTACCTGTGCGGCTCCTACTCGACTTCGCTTTGTTCCGCTTTTAGTCTTTTTCTTCTTCTTCTTCTTTAGTCAACTTGTTGAGATGAAACAATTTTTAGTGTAATAGAAAAATCCGAGCCCCAGATGGGACTTGAACCCACGACCCTCCGTGATCTAGTCGGATGCTCTAACCACTGAGCTACTGGAGACTCTATGGTGAGCAAGGGTCAATTTGTAATCAACTTGTATTGTAAATTTCCCTTTTTTCTAACTCTTCTTTTTTTCATTAATTGAAAAACATCTTCATCAATACATGTGGGCAGAAAATACATTTTTTGACAAATAAATTCAAGTTACAAGCAATTTTAATCATTATGATGACACCAAATGTCACGAGTATTTGGATATGTGGAATTTTATTCACCCTGCTACTGAAAGGGAAAAGTATTTTCCGCTTCCAATTTTTTAGGCTTGACAACTTCCGCATCCTTAAGCTCACAATTGCTATGAAAAATTAACTTTCTGTTCACAAGGTTCATGTTTTCCGCACCCAAATTGCATTACTTTTCAGCAGAAAATTATAGTTTCTGCCCTTTCTTTGTATATAGCACAATTTCTCTTCATTTAACACGTCTACGTGTGCAACGTGGAAAGTTTGTGTATGCATTGCAGCCGACGTTACAACAGCAACGTCGTGGTATTTTGGCCTGAAGCATAATCTTCTTCCATCGAGGAATAAGAAAACA